ACACACACACACACACACGTTTCTCTCACCATGTAATCCATCACATGTCAGTGGTATGACATCATAAGATTTGCTCCATGGTGAGATACTGACTGTTTGAGGGGAAATGGAAAAAAGAAGGTCACCTGCTCTCGAGGGAAAACAATCATCAGATAAATGAATGTATTTAAAGGTTGTTGATGGAAAGCAAACTTCTTTTAGGTTTATCACACAAACACATTTTTAAAAATCCACATATCATTACACATGAAACTCCCAGATACAGATTCTGGCAGCTAAAGATGCCACATCTGTCAAGTGTTTGTAACCTGATAGATGAGACATCTGGAATTTTTCATTTGATGTAATGGTGCTGCCAACGGTGTACTGAATTTGAACGTTTCTCTCATTATTTACATCACAGACTGATTCTTGGTCTAGTTTTTCTTCAGATCTTTGGACATTAAAATTCAATTTTAGATCCTGAAAAATCGTATTATTAATTACCAAAAAACTACAGATTTCTACGATTTGTCTCATATTGTATTAATTCTCTTTCAATCAAAGTGACATTTCAACTTTCAGGACATTTAACAAAGTTTTCTTTCTCACTCATTGTATCACTAACATCCATGCAGTGTTTCTAAATGTCTCTGAATGCCGTAATCCTGTCACGTCATGAGCAATCATTCCAAAACCGTCCCCTCTCACTTGGATACAAAACCTGAATTGTAAAGAACAACACGGTCGATGCTTCAGTAATTCCATTCATCCATCCACTCATTCACTCAGCGAACTGCTCACTCCACAAACATCTCACTAACCAGCACACAATGAAACCAGCCTCCCTGAACTAATTGCTGCTGGATAGGAAACAGTTGTTGGCTTTACTGGAGTTACTGGTTGCCAAGTGGGAAGCAAGCATTCGGAAAAAAGAAGTGTGTTAATGAGACTGGAAACGGGCTGAGGACTTCACTGTGCAGTGCTCTGCTCTTATGATGAAGAAGGTGAATCACAATTGTCCATTTGTGTTTTGGATGAGAACTGAGAAAATTGTTTTATAAAGCAAAATATGTCTGATATGATATATATCTAGTATCACCTCAGTTTAACCAACTTTTAACTTTTTCATGCTGAATATTCTCTGGGAATAAAGTCGTAATTTTACTAGAAAAAAACCTTGAATATTCTTGGAGATAATAAAGTCAGGAATTTACATGATAAAATATTAGTCATGAGGAAAAACAAGTTGTAGGTAAGTGCGTATACCAAACTTTCTATAATTCATACACTGTTCATCTAAAGTGTGTAAACCATGTCAATGTGAAGATGACGACAGCACTTTAACCTCATCGTCATTGTTGATCTAATAGCCAAGGAGCTGGAGCAGAATTAACTGTATTCTGTATCCTTCAACTGTAATAACATGGCAACAAGTCTGACCTAAAATAACCTTGAATCTGGTCATCGATGATGGGAGTTAATACCAGGTAGGTTGAAACAGCCTCAATTAGATTAAACATAATTCAAAGATTTATGGGTCACCATTGCACTCAGAGACAACAGAGCATCACCATGTTGTTAATTTGTTAATCTCTCATTTTATTTCTTCCTGCTATTCCCATGAAGTGTTTTACTGTGTGTTTTCTGTTTCCCTAACTAAAACTGAAAGAAAAAGTGATTTTACAGCATGTTGGAGAACATTTCTATGGTTACAACATTGACCAGATTGCTTTGAACAGTGTTAGGCAGACATTACTTCATTGATCTTTATGATATGTTATAAAGTTATGTCCAGCTCCGACAGCAATAGGTCCACTGAGAAATAAATGACTTTACTGTTGAAAAACTTTAACTGGATGCAGACTTTCCAAAATTCAGACATCATGACAGCAGGGAAATAATCTAACACTTCACTTTCATCACTAAACTTAATTCACTTTTGACTGAGCTTTTGTTACAAATTGGGATTTTAACTGATGGGCAGCAAACCAATAAGTAAGGAAAGGAAATGAAAGAATGAAAGACACATGTTTTCATGTGAAAATAATCAAAGGAAAAGACACATGGTAGACAGAGCAGTTCTGTCTTGAGTGAGTTTTCTCTCATTTATAAGGCTGCTGTTTTTGAGTTTGTGCTGCTCTCTCTTACTCTCGGCTGGTATAAAAATCAGCCACAAATGAGAGAGAAAACTCACAAAGCTGAGCACAAACAGCCTGAAATGCTCCACAATTCAGTGACTAAAACGAATGACATTCATGATTTATGTTGCTGTTTAAATGGGGCGCAAAACCTGTAAATTAGGCATAAAGTGTTTTAATGGGTGAAGTTATACTGCAGGCAATAAAAAGTACAAAAAGTGTAGACAGTAACATTTAACTCAATCCGACGTTTGTCTGGTCGGTGGTGTGGAGTTTTAAACCAAAAGAATGCACTTGAGGCCAGCAGAGACTGGGAATTCAAACTGAGCAGAGTCATCACTTGGTTTAGATTTTTTTGTTTTGTCTGTGTTAATTAAATCGCTATTTCATAAAAAACTCTACCACTCAAATGATTCTGCTATTTATACATGAACGCAGAGCGCCATGCTTTACTTAATCAGCAGGAGTTGTGTGAGTAATCTTGTGCTTTATTGGAAAAGGTGAGTATACTTGAGTCACAAATTTGATGACTTTAGACCAGATAAAATCAAAAAAGACTTGACTCAACTTGAAATTTTACATCAATGACTCGTGACTTCACTTGGACTTAAGGACTTGAAAATACTTGATAACTTCCCAAAGACTAAAAAGTATGCTATTTAAAAAGTGTGCCACAAATCAATTCATTTTCTGAATAAACTAACATTAACACTATTTACTCCCTGCAAGTTGTCACTTAATTCCCCTGATCCACTTAGTTTGAACCGATCTGACAACATCCAGTGAAGTTGCAGGAGTGGACCTTGAAGAACTAAAGTTTGATTTCTGAGCACCAGTTGGAGTGATACCAAAACTTTTGTTTATTAAAATGTTGTTAAAATGGCATTACAGTGCGCAGTGACTTGTTCAGGACTTGAAAAAATGTGACTTGATTAACAATGACTTGGTCCCACTTCTGCAACGGTTACTTTCACAATGTAGTGATTTTTTACAGAAGTAATTCTTTTGTCTTTCTGCTGCTGAGTTAAAAATATATATTTTCATTCAGAGTAAACTGGTTCAAAGTGTTCAAAGTACCTACCTTGATATTCTTATTTAGTGCGAGTAAAACCTTGATTATTCATTTATGAACCAGTTACCTCAGTCTACCAAACAACCAGGGTGCTCTTACTGTGAAAGAGCAGTTGATGTGTTTCCTACCTGAGTGGGAGAGCTGCAGCCGTGGTCCGGTTTGGCTCCAGGCTTTGGCTTCTGGTGCACTGCTGGAGTCCGCAGGCTGCAGCCACAGCAGCGGAAGGAGACAGACTGTCAGTATCTGAAGAGACTTCATCCCTCTGGCCCTGAGTCCTCCTGCTGCCTGCAGGGCAGCCGCAAATACTGTTGTCATCTCTGATTGATCTTCACTGAGATAGATGGAAGAAGGTCGAAGCAGCTGGTCACATCACACTCTGGGCTGCAGCTGACTGAAAGAAAAATGACAAAGAGGGAGTTGGAGAGAGACTGATTAAATATTATGTCAAATGTGTTTTATGAAACATGATTTAACTTTTCTTTTTAGCCACGCTAGCAGCTTGGCTCTATGTCAGTCTGTTGGTTGGTCGGTTCAGCAGACTTAAATATCTCAACAACTATTGGGTGTAAGTTTTATGCAAACATTCATGGTTCCCAGATGATGTTTCCTTTTCAAATCAATTCTTAAATATCAGTCTTTATTGTCATTTCACAGTATATATAGCATTTTACATTCCTTCAAATTCCTCTGCATTTGACCCATCTTTTGTATATACATTACTATATACATTAGGAGCAAGGGCACCTCGACAGTGCACCTCCTGTGGACCTGGCACCTCTCTAGCTGCCAGTCCACACTCTATACTGTGGTCCATGCTGGATGTCCCTACAGATGTCACACACATGTCCCCCTCAGGATGAATTGTAAATAACTTTAGTGATCTCTTAACGTTTCATCCTGCACCAACATCAGGTCAGAATTTTAATTTGTCCATCACTTTGTTTTGTAAATAAATTCCTGCAAAACTAGATATTCTCCTGTTAAGCACATTAACTCTTTTCACAAAAATACTAAAACTAGTTCAAGCAAGCATAAAAATGTTTCTACGAAATTAAAGACATTTTTTTCTAATTTCCATCTTTTCCATCTTTTTGAATACAATACTTTAAAATGTGCATTAAAATACATTGATGTAAAATAAACTTTTATGGAAAACCATTCAACATACAGCATATAACAGATATTTCACCCTGATGGACCAAACAACCATCTTTAGAGCCACTTACGTAGAGTTAATCAAAGGGAAAATTCCTGAGCTGTGTGGTTATGTGAAAAGTCTGATGACGATAGATTCCAGTAAATTAAGTTAATTAAACAGTAGAGGCTGAAGAGAAATAATTGGAATTACTGGAATTTCAGATGTTTACATTCATAATGGAAGAGACCAGACTCCGACCATACCAGCCTCTTAATCTGAGAAAACACTGACTGGAGCTCTTTTGGCCACACTAGCAATATCCAGACGTCCCATTTATAAAACATTCACAACAGTCAGAAACACACAGAGAGACAGAGTGAGAGAGTAACTGGGACAGACAAAGAGGGAGTCCAGAGTCAGCCCATAAATAATGTGACAGATTGTTTGTCGACGGTGATCTGAAGTGTTTGCAGAGAGAGAGAGAGCACTACTACCCAGAGACTATTTGCATCATATGAACCAAATAAAAATGAGATTGATACCAGATAAAGTTTGGTTATGTGACACCCGAATAAAACACATTAAAGCACTTCTTTTCCCAAAACAAGGTGATGAATCTGATACTCAGATAATTCAATTCAAATTTCAACTGGGTCCAATAAGTTGTGGGTTTTAGGAATAAACAGTCCTAATTTAAAGTCTAATCGAATCACTGCACATTTACAAAATAAACAAACCGAAGAACATAGTTTTGCTTTTGTTGACTTATTCTCTTTTTCCCTCTGCACTTTGGATGTGTCCTTCACACGCTGACGGCCACCTGAATAAATCTCTAGTAGAAAGGAACTATATGTGCAGCTAGAACTGGAAGGTTGTGTTAATGTGGGAATGTAGTTCAGGAGGGAAACAGATCAATTTATCATTTTGTACGGTTTACAGCGGTGGCGGGCCAGTTTTAAGAGGTTAGTTTGAGAAATGCAAGGAGAAAGAAGCTGCTGAGAGAGGAAAGACAGTGAGCTTGTCAGCTGAGCCCGAGTACTCCCGAACAGAAAGAGGACACAGAACAACTAATGGGCGGACTATGAGACAACAGAGCCCTGGACACAGACATGTTAAAGACCCTCCACCCCTCCCACATAGGAGCAAGACACCCAGACTGAAAGAGTTTATCATTTTGTGTCTCTTTGTAGTCATTTTGTATCTCTTTGCGGGCATTTTGCATCACTTCCTAGTTGTAGTTGTTTAATTTACTTTCCAACAAAGTGTTTACAGTCACTTCAAACAGCGGCTCTGGTCTGGCCTCCTGACCCCTTCGGGCCCTATGTCGTTTGGTCTAGTTGGTAGAGTTGAAAACTTTCTGAAATGCAACAGAAAGTCCCCCTCCACTGTAACTGTACCCAAACCATGAAATTATTTCAGGTGGCATGGCAAAACGCGGGGTAATTTGCAGAGCTTGCAAGCACAGTTCCAGGAGAAACTGACCATGTTATCATACCATAATTTATCACAATCTGTCATGGCGGCTGCTGGCTAGCATCCTGTCAGCAGGTTTTAAAGAGCTCAACAGGTTGGACAGACGCCTGCTGAGAGAGGAAAGACAGCCAGGGAGGTTTAACTTGGCTGCTGCTCCACGTTTTTTATCTACAGTGTGACTGTGACACTGCCGGTGCCAAAATGTGGAAATCTCAATTCAGAACGCCTCAGACAAGATCTCTTTTTATACTTGTTTACTGTTTTAAATACAGTGTGAAGACAATGAAGAGGCCATTTCTTTTCCAGCACTCAACAAGATGATGGAAGACGGAACTGACTCATAACTTAATAACACCCTTTAACATCCACCTTTAATCCAGCAAATGGAAGCCTTGGGACAGAACCCTTTCAAATTAAAAACACTCCCCTTTAATCCTGCTTTTGACAGTTTATCTTCTGTAATGCTCTCTATTATTTCCATAAACTGTTAAAAGGACTGCCAGACACCACAAACATCCATGTGTCTTATGGTTTTAACCATACTGTTCTCTATGACACATCCTCTGAGAGCTGAACATGAACAAATATGTTTGTTCTGTTTATTAGAAGAAAGACTAAATTAAAGAATGTAATTATGGGTTATGTCAAACAGAGAGAGACGTAAAAAGAAGAGGAGAATGGCGTAAATCTGGTTAATAAAGTCAAACTAAACAGAAAAGAAGCAGTGTAGCATTTATGTGCAGTGAAGAATAAACAGTATAAATTACAGTCAAAACCACCGTAAACCTGTCGCTTCGGGGTTAAATGACAAAACCCAGGAGACACAAAGGAAAGAGTTTCTTCTTCTTGCGGTGAAACAACAAACCACGCCCGTGTCTGAGTAATCAATAATAACTCTTATTACTCGTTCTGCGTGTGAAATATAACTGTGGACAAGTTGTACTGTAACACAACGACATCATGTGTTTCACATCAGCGTTGTTCATTTGTGTTCAACACTTGACTTGAGGAAACGACCTCCTCAGACCCGTCCACATGGAGACAGACGAGGAACAAACTGTCTCTTCCTCTCGCCGCTCGTTTGACATGCAAAGTGTGTGTGTGTGTGTCTGGCACAGATAGAGAGAAAGAGAAAATAAACTGTGAAAGAGACAAAGTCAAGGTGAAGGGAAAAAACATCAGTTGATTAAAAATTCAAATCTGTGTGCGTGCGCTCAAGGTGTGTTTGTGTGTGTTAGCTTTGTTCCAAAGAAACGTGGGTGTTGTCAAGAGTTTTTAAATAAATCCCTGAAGGAAACTCATCGTTTGTTTCCTTTGTCTGTCTGCTGGTCGGACACACACACACACACACACACACACACACTTTAGTAACATTACACACATTAATACACACATATGAACTTGAGATACACAAACACATACCAGCACACACACACACACACATATACATACTCTCTCTCACTGACACAATGTGGTGAAGCCAGCCGGATGAGGACATGTCAACTTTTGGAGACTAAAATTAGACAGTTTGTTTACATGTGTTTGTGTTGTTTTTTTGGTTCAGATTCAGGTCGACTGCAGGTCACACAGGCACAGCTAAATACACACACACACACACGCACAGTCATACACTCAGCGTTGTTGTTGTACTGTTCTAGCTTTAACTACAAATTGCTCCATTCACATAGAAATGATTTAGAAGATTCAGTTTTTTGTTTTCTCTAGTCGGGAAGTTCAACTGAACACTCACTGACACTGCCTGAAAGACGACTATGATGAGTTGCTTGATGTACCATAGACCCAATACAGCGTATATGTTTTGGAGTCTTCAGCAGGAATATAAAGCTTCCACACAGGTAGCTGTTTGTTATCTGGTGCATCTTAAAACTACACTTGGATCACAGTGACAGCAGAAGCCCAGAAAGCACCAACCAGACACTGGCGCCGGATGGAGCCTCTCACATTTTTTGCGGCCACTGTAGTTTTTAATTTGCACTTGGAAGGGGAGGGTGAAGATAGGGAGTTGCAATCTGCAACTTCACTGCTGGATGCCACTAAACCCTACACACTGGACCTTTAAGGTCTGACACACCAGAATGTGGCTGAGGGAAATTGTTGCAGGTGTGTTTGTATCATCTGTTCCTGTCTTATAACTGCCTCCAGGTCTCTGCTGGGGAGCATGGACATGAAACATTTGCACAGATTTATATTCCAGCGAGTGATTCCAGTATGAAATGTTGGTGTGAGCCTTCTGGATGGCGATTGATGACTAAGATTATTTATTTAAGATAATTTAATAAATTTGTTTTGTTATTCTGGACTGTGTGACACTTTGGAACTATGTCATCCACCCTTGATACCCATTAAATGAGACCTGCAGTAGCTACCACAAGAGTAGAGGGGCTGGGTAGAGGAAGCCTATCAGCCTGACTCACCTCTACTGTCACCATCAGCCTCGTAGGAGGATGTGACGTCATTCACGAGTCACCAGTGTGTCACCTTTGTTTCACCTCTAACACACCGAGCAGAATGTTTTCCCACTAAACCGCCGACAATTCTCCAACTTTCACAGCTGCAGCCTCGGTAAGGGTTCATGTTTGTTCATTGTTTGTCAGGAAGCTTCCCACAAGTTCACCATCACAACAACATAATAATAAAGAGTGTAAAAAAAATGATCTAATGGTAAAAATCACAGAATCATCTGATCTCAAGTGTCCACAAAGTCCCAAACAAACTACAGCTTTTCCAGTTTTACAGAGTAGAGGTGATGATATTGTTAA